ATCAATGCGACCTAAATATTTGATATAAAAAATATGCATCATTGCCTGAATATTTGATATAAAAAATATGCATCATTGCCTGAATATTTGATATAAAAAATATGCATCATTGCCTAAATATTTGATATAAAAAATATGCATCATTGCCTAAATATTTGATATAAAAAATATGCATCATTGCCTGAATATTTTCCAAAAACAAGTCTTTTTAATACCTTTAAATTCAAGAAATATAGGAATTCATTATAAAATAAACCTTATTAACGAATTTAAGAAAGAATTAATTTTTGTTTACAAATTGTTGGAATCGATTAAACAATAGAATTACGTTGTCAATGTTCTTCTCGTTCAACTGTTTTTATACATGATTAGGTAAGAAAGGGACTGTTAACGAGTTTTATAGTGACCTCTCGCCTCCGTTTAAACTTTAAAGAGACTCATCAACTTAAAATTGATCTCACGTAAAAATCGACGAGAACTTTGCCAATTATTTCTTCAAAAATCAAACCAGTGCTCTATAGTAAAATATGTATATGTACAGGGCTACAAAACAAGTTTAAGCGAGTTATTGAGGTAAAGTCAAAGACAAAGCAGACCCAATCTTAAAAATTTATGCTTTTCATTGCACTTTGGATCTTTGCGACCTAAATATTTAAGATAAAAAATATGCGTCAATGCCTGAATATTTTTTTAAAACAATTGTTAAAACCTATAAATTCAAGCTGTGTCAGAAATATGGGACTGCATTATAAAATAAACCTAATTAACGAATTGGAAAAAAAAAATTAACTATTTTTTTCGACTTGACTGATTTGGTAAACATTTTTCTTTAAACACTAGAATTACGTTGTTAATTTCTTCTGATTCAGCTGTTTTTATACCTTATTAGGTAAGAAAAAAGAAATTAAATTTTTATCAGTCATTCTAGTAAAATTCAGTTTTTAAAATTTAGCTGCTATCAATATTTTAACTGTCAGATTTCATCCATAAAAAATAAAGATGTTAGACGGGTTTGACAAGTTGCAATAATTCTGATTATCCAAGTTAAAGTCTGATCAGGACTTTATCATGATATTATTTATAAAATGCAACATGTGGGTTGGATTAGAGTACAACTTTATACTATGTACATAAATGTTATTTTGTGACGGTACATATAATTTACAATGCATCATTTCAATTTACTTTATGTACTTAAAAGATTATAGATCAAAAGCTTAAATATCGAATAGGTTTACATCCAATGCATTATTATTATCAAAGAAATCAATGATCAATCAGATTATTAAAAGCATATCAAGACTCAGCGTATGCTTAACACAGGATCAATTTACAACTACTTAAGATAAAAACATACTAATTATTTATGGTCAAATATGTATTGAGAAATGCAGGACTAGAAACGGACACCAGAGATTGATATCTTAATATTTACTCTAGGTACTGATGTTAACAGAGAATTGCTCCATACCGTGAAATGCATACAAAGTTGATAATAAATTATTTACNCCCTACTCCCTACTCCCTACTCCCTACTCCCTACTCCCTACTCCCTACTCCCTACTCCCTACTCCCTACTCCCTACTCCCTACTCCCTACTCCCTACTCCCTACTCCCTACTCCCTACTCCCTACTCCCTACTCCCTACTCCCTACTCCCTACTCCCTACTCCCTACTCCCTACTCCCTACTCCCTACTCCCTACTCCCTACTCCCTACTCCCTACTCCCTACTCCCTACTCCCTACTCCCTACTCCCTACTCCCTACTCCCTACTCCCTACTCCCTACTCCCTACTCCCTACTCCCTACTCCCTACTCCCTACTCCCTACTCCCTACTCCCTACTCCCTACTCCCTACTCCCTACTCCCTACTCCCTACTCCCTACTCCCTACTCCCTACTCCCTACTCCCTACTCCCTACTCCCTGCTCCCTACTCCCTACTCCCTACTATTTTTTGTTTTTGGAATTCTTTGAATATTTCACGTATTTTCCCTCTGCGACGTAATTAAGCTAGTGTAAACAAAATATGAATGTGACGGTTACAAAAAAAAAACAAAAAAAACAACAAGAAATCACATTTATTCTTGGAGTTTTTCACTCGAATATTTAAAAAATTGCTATGTACGTTTTTATATTGTTTGTTCCATGACATTTATGCGAAAACAGTTTTTTAACAAAGATTCAAGATTTTGTACACGGTGTCCCACATCATATTAGATCGTCAATGGGTCTAAATTACGTTTTTCGGGACTAATCAGAAAATCAGAAAATTTAAGAACTATGAATCATTTTGAAAAATTGAATAAGGCTAATACAAAAATTGGCTTGCGAAAAAAGCTAGGTTTTTCGAGTATTATGAGTTTATTTTGGAGCTAAAGCTTGAAGAGATAATCTAATATGATATGGGACGCTCTGTACAACGCCCATTACCTGAGAGGAAGGAAGAAGTTTACTATTAGAAGATTTAATGTTTATTAGAAGTAAATCGAAAGTTGACGAAGGTTCCCTTTAGGTTGATATAAAGGTTGTATAGAATACATTGTCCATGTTGTATCACGGATTTAGTAATCTATACCAGCTTAGAACCTTATCTTGGAGAAAATAAAAAGTCAAATATAAGATACAGACATTAGACACACTGCAATTCCCAACCTTTACCTTTCAAACCATAAACTATCCTAACACTGCATTTCCGACCCACAACCATTAAAGCATTTTCCTTTCCAATATTGCCTTTCAACCAATATTCTTCCCAATAATGCCTTTCGCAATCCTTCCCTATCTATGTAAATTCACTCCAACATACATTTCCTTTCTTAACCATACTAGTCCGACCCTAAACTTACTTCTCCTAACCTATTTGCTGCCCTTGTTTCCGTGTATGCTGCCCTTGTTTCCGTGTATACTGCCCTTGTTTCCGTGTATGCTGCCCTTGTTTCCGTGTATCCTGCCCTTGTATCCGTGTATCATGCCCTTGTGTCCGTGTATCCTGCTCTTGTAGCAGTGTATCCTGCCCTTGTATCCGTGTATCCTGCCCTTGTATCCTTAAAGCATGCCCTTGTATCCGTGTATCCTGCCTTTGTATCAGTGTATCCTGCCCTTATATCAATGTATCCCATGAATCTGAGAAACTATATATAAATTAGTATTTCCTTCTAATTCTTTTAATGAATAATCAACAAAGTGTATTAATCCAATTATATGAATTCCTCAGGCTCATTCTGTATTCCTTCTCATCTCTCAACGCCAGGTTCTACTCCCGGCGAATTATTTTTATTTCGTGGATTTTTCTAAACCTAGAATTTACCTACTCCTACTCCTTCCCATGACAGCTACTTGTCTCTACTACTTGATTGCCCTAATCCTACTCGTTTCCTTGGTAAACCTACTTGTCTCTATTACTGGATTAACCTACTCCTACTCATTCCCTCGGCTACCTACTTGTCTCTACTACTGAATTAACCTACTCCTAATCCTTCCCTTGGTACACCTACATGTCTCTACTTCTAGATTACCTTACTCCTAATCCTTCCCTTGGTACACCTACTTGTCTCTACTACTAGATTACCTTACTCCTACTCCTTCCCTAGGTACACCTACTTGTCTCTACTACTAGATTACCTTACTCCTAATCCTTCCCTTGGTACACCTACTTGTCTCTACTACTAGATTACCCTACTCCTTCCCTTGGTATACCTGCTAGTCTCTACTACTAGATTACCTTACTCCTACTCCTTCCCTAGGTACACCTACTTGTCTCTACTACTAGATTACCTTACGCCTACTCCTTCCCTAGGTACACCTACTAGTCTCTACTACTAGATTACCTTACTCCTCATCCTTCCCTTGGTACACCTACTTGTCTCTAGTCTCTACTACTAGATTATCCTACTCCTTCTCTTGGTATACCTACTAGTCTCTACTACTAGATTACCTTACTACTACTCCTTCCCTAGGTACACCTACTATTCTCTACTACTAGATTACCTTTCTCCTACTCCTTCCCTAGGTACACCTACTTGGCTCTACTACTGAATTAGCTTACTCCTAATCCTTCCCTTGGTACACCTACTTTTCTCTACTACTAGATTACCTTACTACTACTCCTTCCCTTGGTATACCTACTAGTCTCTACTTCTAAATTACCTTACTCCTACCCCTTTGCTTGGTACACCTACTTGTCTTTACTACTGAATTAGCTTACTCCTAATCCTTCCCTTGGTATACCTACTTTTCTCTACTACTAGATTACCTTACTACTACTCCTTCCCTTGGTATACCTACTTGTCTCTACTTTCCTTCCCTTGGTATACCTACTTGTCTCTACTTCTAAATTACCTTACTCCTACTCCTTTGCTTGGTACACCTACTTGTCTTTACTACTGGATTAGCTTACTCCTAATCCTTCCCTTGGTATACATACTTGTCTCTACTACTGGATTATTCTAATCATACTTCTCCCCAATTGGTACACCTATTTGTCTCTCCTACTAGATAATCCAAATCATAATGTATCCTAAGCAACCCAGCTTATAATAATCTTTCCTAAATTTTAAAATACTTTGGTTTATGTTATAACCTAATCCATACTTTTACACTGCTCAAAAAATTAAATTCCTCAATAAGAAAAAATAGAATATAAACAAGATAATTTTTGTTTGTAAAACAAAACAAAGAAAACAAGTTCAGTCAGGTAGTTTTGTAAATATTATAAATACATTTTTTATATGAAAAAGAAGAATCCGTATAAATATGATAAATTAAACTGATCCGTAAATTTGAAGTTCAGAACAAGACACTAAAGATAGAAAGACCGATAACAAGGACTTGAATCAATACCAAAGAGAGGGTTCAATCTACGGAAAATAAACTCTGGTTATTTTGCAGTTGTAAGATATTTATTCCTAGAATATTGCATAAATGTATGAATATTGAACCTATTTAAATAATATCTTTATAAATATTTTGACAGTCTAATTTACATATATGTATACAATACCTTTTATCTCTTCAATAATCCAGCTGTTGAAACACAAAATTATAGAATCACTTTATAGATCACGTAAAGTAGATAAATATATATCTAAACACTATATATAATGTTAGGACGGAGTAACAGCGCGTATAGGATTTGATCCTTACTCAGCAACACTAGTCACAGCACTGGTCTCTTCAGTTCTCCCGGTATACACTCACACTCTCCGCAGAAACCAAGTTTATCTAGACTTATATCAAGCCGAACTCAGGCATATACCTTATTGTAATAGATACCTTTAAACTAAATATCAACAGAATTATTTGTACTAAGTTGGACTCTTCCAAATCCCTCGTCTATTGAGCAACCATGGTTGAGAAGATAATTAAAGAGAGAATTGAGGTTTAATTTTCTAATAAACTATAAACAACAGTTAGGGAACAATTATATATAAATATTAACATTTAACGATCATGTTACAAACATTTTACACTAATAATTTATACTTCTGGACCTATTCTTCGACTATTTCTCTGGACCATTACTACTATTTGTCTTGACTTCTGGACCATTTCTACTATTCGTCTTGACTTCTGGACCATTTCTACTATTCGTCTTGACTTCTGGACCATCTCTACTATTCGTCTTGACTTCTGGACCATTTATACTATTCGTCTTGACTTCTGGACCATCTCTACTATTCGTCTTGACTTCTGGACCATCTCTACTATTCGTCTTGACTTCTAGACCATTTATACTTGGACCATCTATACTCTTCTTCTATACTTCTGGACCATCTCTACTCTTCTTCTATACTTCTGGACCATCTAATACTCTTCTTCTAAACTTCTTGATCATCTCTATTCTTCTTCTATACTTCTGGACCATCTCTATTCTTCTTCTATACTTCTGGACCATCTCATACTTTTCTTCTATACTTCTGGACCATCTCTACTCTTCTTCTATACATCTGGGCCATCTCTACTCTTCTTCTATACTTCTGGACCATATCATACTCTTCTTCTATATATCTGGGCCATCTCTACTCTTCTTCTATACTTCTGGACCATATCATACTCTTCTTCTACACTTCTGGACCATCTCTACTCTGCTTATATGCTTTTGGACCATCTTAAATCTTCTTTTATACTTCTGGACCATCCCTACTTGTCTTCTATACTTCTCGACCATATCTACTCTTCTTCTATATTTCTTGAACATCTCTATTCTTCTTCTATACTTCTGGACCATCTCTACTCTGTTTATATGCTTTACGTATGTGCTTGCTTCTGAACTCTTCTCTGCTGTTTATTATATATTTTACGATATTTTAGTTTGTTTTCATTTTTATTAATTCCTTCTTTCTTAACCATACTTCCCTACTTTAATCATTTTTCTATATGTTAAAATCTTTTTTTCAAATCCTAATTTTCTCAATCCTCCCTTTTTTGTAAACCTTACATAAATTATGTCTCCTTACCCTACTATGTCTTCTAGTTTATACAAGATTTGACTATTAAAATTTCTCTTCGTAATCCTAGACTCCGAGTTTTCTGACTTATTTAGTAAAAGAGACAAATATATGGATTAAGTTTTTAAGAAGATAAAACAATTACATATAAAGTTATGTGAGCAGTAAAAGGATAAAATGAGCCTTTTATACTTAATTTTAAACTTATTTAAATATCATAAATTTAATGCTATTTCTGTAGGGCTATACTTTATAAATACTAAGAGTTGTATCGCGTATTGGTTTAAAAAGAAAAGTTTTTTAATATGAATTCTTGATACAAAACTAAATCTGAATCCGTTCAGGTTTTCTTACTTCTATTCGTTCATTCAATTTCCTTTAACCAGTCATACGTCAAGCCAAAAACCAGTGCTTTTAAATCATGTAAGCTTCTGATACAAGGCTAGTTTTAGTAACATTTAGACGATACAAACAAAAATGTCAGTCAATTTTAATTGATATGAGAGGTTCAGAAAGAAATATAGATTCAAAGGGTCTGAAAAGTTTCATTCAAAATATACAACGATCATTAAAGCCTTTATCCGAGTAACGATGAGGACGATATCGTTTTTTTTCTATCTTGAAAAGAGATAAACTTGAAATTGAAAAACGTTCCTCGGAAAATAATGTAAACTTTTATTATTTTTAAAAATGAACCAATTTAAGCAAAAAACTTACCGAAAATTTGCTAGTATTGGAGTGCATTGCAGTAAAATGCTAAAGGAAATAAGTTGTTGTCATAATTTTTTTAATCTCTATATCTTTACAACCTGATGTCAAAGAATTTGATATTTCGAGCAATGAATTCTTGTAACATCTAATAGTCTAAGTTTAAAATATATAAAGTACACATCACATAAAGTAATCAGGTTGCAAAGATATAGCTATAGAGATTAAAATATTCTGTTTGTGGCAAAGGCTCACTTCCTTTGTTACCATAAATAACGAGTTGAGATAGTTTTTTCGTTTAAATTACTTGTTATTTAAACAGTACAATTAACATGAGGCATAGCAATTGTGTGGTGTAGAATAACTTACTAGTAAAGCTATTGGCTTTGTAACAACATTAAATGCACTTTAGTATTGCTTAGATGTCGTCTTACTCTTCTACAGTTCTCTTGTTATTACTGTATCTGCAAAAATATTCCTTTCTCTGGGAAATAAGCACAATTGTTTTCTATCTTCCATACTTTAACCAATCTAATTTCAAAATAAGTCGAAAAATGTTGTTTTACTTAATTTTCTTTTGTATGGTATTCTTCATTATAGTTTCACTTCAGTAGTAGTAAATATTTCCATTTACTGCTATAGCACCGATACAAGGGTTTATAGTTTCACTTCAGTAGTAGTAAATATTTCCATTTACTGCTATAGCACCGATACAAGGATTTATAGTTTCACTTCAGTAGTAGTAAATATTTCCATTTACTGCTATAGCACCGATACAAGGATTTATAGTTTCACTTCAGTAGTAGTAAATATTTCCATTTACTGCTACAGCACCGATACAAGGATTTATCTCTAATTGGATAATGCGCTAGATAGAAAGATAGATGTTACCACCATGCATTTCTATTGGTTCAGAATAGACACCAAACACATGACTGAACCCTGATTGGATCAGGTGCTAATGGACTCGGCATACTAGAGTGTCTTTCATTTTTAACCTGTTTTTTCGTATTTACTTTCTCCCAATGTTTACATACATTAATAGGTCAGATAATGATCGAAAGTAACAGCTTGGTGGGACAAGGACCGAACTGTTAGATCAGAGTGTGAAGTTCTAATATGAATTCGGACCTGATCGGTTTCTGCCTTTTTTAACGCTTTTTGGGAACAAACAAACTAACATCCGAGACAAATATTTATCATGTTTATAAAATACTAGCTTTAAAACCCAGCTTTGCCAGGCAACTAAACTTTACCTATAAAAGTTAACCCACTCAACCTAAATTTTTAAAACCAAGCTAAGAACATTCCCATGGTTCTACCGAGTTTTCAAATCAAAATTTGAGGCAAATCAGTCCAGGGGTTCATGAGTTATGATCGGACATACTATACAAACACATATTACTATTCACTTTATATATTTATAGTTTTAACTTAAATATTTAAATTGAAATAAAAGAACCAAATTAAGAGAATGAATTTGAAAGGTTCACAAAACGTAAACAAGGTAAAGGAGACTTTTTTAAGGCGCTAACACAATAATAGGTAAAATATTTTGAAAATGAAATCGAATTCAGCTTTAAAATTTACAGCGGCCTACAAAGGGAGGGGGCTATGAGGGCTCAGCACCCCCCCCCCTCCCTTTGGAACAGTGAAATCTATGGTTGCCATAGGCTTTTCGGCCCCAATGGGTACTGAGCCCCGCCCCCATGCATAAAAAGAAAAAAATCCCCCAGGAGAAATTCCTGTGTATGCCCCAGAACAATTCTCTTCTTGTTTCTAAATGAAAGTGATAAATTGAAACTAAAGATTGTGGTTGAGGTTGCAGATATACTCCAGCCTACTTTATATCCTACCTGGAGAAATCTTCCCGATATTTTCAATCTAACAAACCCTCGTTTTCTTGCACTGTAAGCTTTCCCGAACTATTGGTTTATTTCAGTTTTATTTTCCTGTCAAGTCTAGGGTCTGGAGTCTCGAGTCGAGAAAAACACCTGGATGTCTGGATTGAAAAATTTTATCCAATCAATTAATCATTTTATTTTAAATTTTCGAAATCGCTTTGAAGGGACCGTTCACTTATTTGGATAATTTCATGGTAAAACTAAACAACCTATTCGCTGATGATTGGTATTAGTCTTACTTTTCAGATACAACTGTGGTCGGAGAAAAAGCCGATTTTTCGTTCAGAATTCTAGCGCAAAGGTATGGTACCTTTGTCAGAAATAGTATATTAGACGTTTTTAAGCAACAGCAGCCCAATAAAATTTAGATTCATCATATATTAATGTCATTATGTGAACGTTATTATATACTAAAATATGAAAACTTTTGATAATTGAGTTAGCAAGAAATTTACGCATTAAAACGTGTAAAATGTGTTTACAAAGACGACGTTCTCTACGACAATCAATAAATCATTAGGCAATTTCGGTTCCTAGATTCAACTCGGTGTTCGATGTAAATAACAAATACATCTTACTTGAAATGATACATTTGTGAGTAATCCAAAAAAGTTTATCTTTAAAACTTTCGGAGCGGAATGGGAGAACCATTCTCTCGAGGGGAGAAAGGCCAGCCACAACAATTTCTCGTCAGAGCCACCTCGGAATCCTCGTCCTTCGATGATTTTGTGTTAAAAAGTTTCCAACTCTTGAAGATAAAACCATTTTTAAAAAATCTGGCCACGTTAGGGCATAAAATATGGATGGACTAAAGTATGCCAATGATTATATCATGTTGGAATCTTCAAACCCATGAGAATGATGTCAAACTTTATTTAGGTAAAACTTAAGTCTCTTCTGCCTCCATAATGTCTAACCTTCGTGATATAAAATAAATAGCAAAATATTCGGCATACCTCTGCCTATAATTTTCCCGGAAAAATTCTATGGTTTTTAATTTGCAAAAATTTGATATTTCATCACTGCCCTTATTTTGGCTTGATTCTTAAAAAATAGTTTTTTCTAAAAAAACGAGGATTTCGAGGTGGCTCGGACGAGAAAATGAGGAGAATGTGGCTCTGACGAGAAATTGTTGTGGTTGGTTTTCCTCCCCTCCTCTCAACTCGGTTCTCTTCACGCATTCTGTTCGGTTCGTAGATTCATTATATTTGTAATAATGCATTTTTGAGTAATTGTTTATTTTATTAAAATATCATTGAATAAGCGAATAAATTGAATAAATAATAGAAATAATAATTGATAAATCAGCTGATTGTATTATCTCGCAATAAAATAATATTACGTCAGCTGCAATCGCAGTCCGAGAAATTCAAAATGAATGAATTATTAACCTTATAATGCTGAAAAGCAATCAGGTAATTTCAGAGTATACGACCCCCCCCCCCTTCCTATCAATTGTGTTCCCGTATGCGCGCAACTTTTCATTTTTCATGCCGCGTTAAATTCAGCTTTTAGCAGTTGAATTTTATATTCGAAATTTATTTTGATCCACAACATATTGACAAAAACATCAAATAGTGTATATGCCAAAGGTATAAATGAACCTTTGCGCTCGAATTCTGAACGAAAAGTCGGCTTTTTCTCCGGCCACAGTTGTCTTTGAAAAGTAATTGACTAATACCAATCAACAGCAAATAAGCTGTTTAGTTTACCCTGAAATTACCAAATCAGTGAACGGTCCCTTTAAGTTTTCAAAAAAATAAAATAAAATAAGATTTTAATGAAAAATAGTCTAATTAGAATGTAGCGCTTTACTCTGAGAAATTGAATGATGATATTAAAGGAATATCAATTTTAAAATATTAATTAAATTTATTAAATTCAAATTTATCCTTTCTTATTGATATAGAGGTCGATGAAAGGAAATATTGTGTATTGTGTATCTGTTTGTGTATGTACGTGTGTCCAAACTTTGTCTCAATAAGCATACTGATGAGGTATCCCGCTAACTCAATCCTTTTTTGGGACAGAAATCGTTTTTATCTCCTAGGCTATGCATATAATAAAAAGGCCTGGAAAGGCCTGGAAAAGTATGGTCTGGTTAACAAGGATCTATCAATTCTGTAAAATTTGTCTCCCGCCGTTTGTTCTCATTGTCCACTGAGAACATAAACTTTAAACATGGAGAGACGGGTTTCATATCGTTCTAGGTTTGGTTTTATGATTAGCTATCAAATTCATCCATTCATTAATTTATTAGTTCATCTATTCATCAACTCATTTATCAGTAGGTTGATCAATTCATTTATCAGTAAGTTGATCGATTCATCAATTCATTTATCAGTAGGTTGATAAATTCATCAATTCATTTATCAGTAGGTTGATCAATTCATCAATTCATTTATCAGTAGGTTGATCAATTCATAAATTCGTTATTATCTTAATTCATTAATTCATTTATCGGATTATTGGTTCATTAATTCAACAATTCATCTATCAGTTAGTTCATTGTCAATTCGTCAATTCATTTATCAGTAAGTTAATCAATTCATCAATTCATTTATCGGTTTATTGTTTTATTCATCAATTCATTTATCAGTTGATTGATCAATTCATTTATCGGTTTATTGGTTTATTAATTCATCAATTCATTTATCAGTTTAATCTATTTGCACATTAAACAATTCATCAGTTAGTAAGTTTATTTATTCATTCACCCATTTATTCATTCCTTTAACCAATTCATCAATTCATTAGTACATTCATTCATTAATTCATCCTTTAATCAAATCATAAATTTGTTAATTCAATCGTTTAACAATTTATCGTCAAATCAATTAATCTGTCATTCAATTTAATCTATACTGTAAACCCACCCAGCTAGTTCATTCAACCCAAGCTAAATTGTATCATGAGTTGAGTAACTGGACAAACAAATAGTATTGATTGTATTTAACCCGTTACTACTGGAGCTGGTATCAACGGCCAGAGGAAATTTCCAGGGTAGCAAGGTTCAAATCCTGGGAATCCTTATCAGGGGAACACGGATAACGGTGCTTTCGTCGGAAGAGAAAGCAATCTGAACGTCCATTTTGTCCCCGAGAAAAGGGTGAGTCTTGATGAAGGAGGAGAAGAGAGCGGTCGATCACAGCTCCAGTAGCTCCGAGAGGAGAATTAGATCCATCTATGATTCCAGGATTGACTTCAGTTGATCCTCAGTTTGTATTTTAATAATAATGTAAAATAAATGTCTGTGCAAAGTTAGTGCTTTAATCGATTCCATCTGGCTTGTTATATTGAGTTTCTCTTTGTAAAGTTGCCTTTATTCAGTTCTTTATACATGAGTTTCTATAAAGTTTATAATACATTTATCTATTCTATTAAACACAATCATCTATTCACCTATTTAATCTACAAATTCTTTAATTCGTCCTTCAACAAATTAATCTATTTATCAATTTAATCTAAACATTTATCTATTTACCTTTCATCAGTTCATCCTTCACCCAATTATCTTTCTAATCTGTAAATTCATCTACTAATGAAGTCATCTATCTAATCTGTTACTTCATCTATTCTTTTATTCATCTATCGTATCTGTAAATTTATCTATTCATCTATTCATCCCTCGTATCTGTAAATTCATATATTCATCTATCTAATCTGCTAATTCATCTATTTATCTATGTAATAGCTGTAAATTCATCTATTCATTTAATCATCTGTCTAGTCTGTAAATTCATCTAAATAATTGTAAATTCATCTAAATAATTGTAAATTCATCTAAATAATTGTAAATTCATCTATTTATCTAGCTAATCTGTATTGTTCATCTAATGTCTGAATTCATATATTCATCTATACAATGTCTAAATTCATCTATTCATCTATGCAATGTCTAAATTCATCTATTCATCAACACAATGTCAAAATTCATCTATTTATCTATACAATGTATAAATTCATCTATTTATCTATACAATGTCTAAATTCATCTATTCATCTATACAATGTCTAAATTCATCTATTCATCTATACAATGTCTAAATTCATCTATGCATCTATACAATGTCTAAATTCATCTATTCATCTATACAATGTCTAAATTCATCTATCTATCAGTGATTTCCATCAGCATAAGAATGAAGAGAATTGATTGGGACGAAAATATATTTTGGAACTTGAATCTAATCTTTTCTCTACCACAATACAAACCATCGAAACTAAAAAGAAAAATGCACAACAAAACACATTAATTAAAAGGGTACTTAAGAGTAAACCCTGTTTATAAGGCACAACCTTACATTTAGTTTAATAAGAATAAAAAAATTTTGAACATATGAAAACAATGGTTTGATTTTTAGAGAAATAATTTAACAGTTTATTTTTTATTCATTAGTTCATGATTATTCACATTTAAACAAGAATACAATTTATGTTTAAGATCTGCTTACACAAGTTTACAGAGTTTCAACCTTAGATAAACTATTGGAGAAACTCAGTCAATACAATAATATTGAGAAATAAATACTTTAGGATAATGTTACAAAATTAGAAATAATTACAAGAAAGAAACAATGAATAAAAAAGGAACATATATTAAATAAGAATAAAATAAGAACAAAAAAATATATTAAAAAATGGAATTTAGCGAGGAATCTTTAGAGAAAAGGAAATGAAATGGAAAGAAAAAGGAAGAGAAAGGAAATGGAGAAAAAGCATTGAAAAAAAACAGAGAAAAATTAAGCTAAAGTTTGGATAAATAGAATCCACAGGAGAGTATAAATCAAATACTTCAAACCAAACCGTAAACTTAAACCTGAAAGAAATACAGGGTTAAACACATATATAGAGAACAAGACGACAGAATCCTGAACACTTAATCTATTTTACATAAAGAACAAGACGACAGAATTGTGAACACTTAATCTATTTTACATAAAGAACAAGAAGACAGAATCGTGAACACTTAATCTATTTTTACATAAAGAACAAGAAGACAGAATTGTGAACACTCAATCTATTTAACATACATAACAAGACGACAGAATTGTGAACATTTAATCTATTTTACATAAAGAACAAGAAGACAGAATTGTGAACACTTAATCTATTTTTACATAAAGAACAAGAAGACAGAATTGTGAACACTTAATCTATTTTACCTAAAGAACAAGACGACAGAATCGTGAACACTCAATCTATTTTACATAAAGAACAAGAAGACAGAATCGTGAACACTCAATCTATTTAACATAGATAACAAGACGACAGAACTGTGAACACTTAATATTTTTTACATAAAGAACAAGAAGACAAAATTGTGAACACTTACTATTTTTTATATAAAGAACAAGAAGACAGAATCGTGAACACTTAATATTTTTTACATAAAGAATAAGAAGACAGAATTGTGAACACTTAATCTTTTTTACATAAAGAACAAAATGACAGAATTGTGAACACTTAATATTTTTTACATAAAGAACAAGAAGACAGAATCGTGAACACTTAATATTTTTTACATAAAGAACAAGAAGACAGAATTGTGAATACTTAATCTTTTTTACATAAAGAACAAAATGACAGAATTGTGAACACTTAATCTTTTTTTACATAAAGAACAAAATGACAGAATTGTGAACACTTAATCTTTTTTACATAAAGAACAAAATGACAGAATTGTGAACACTTAATCTTTTTTTTACATAAAGAACAAAATGACAGAATTGTGAACACTTAATCTTTTTTACATAAAGAACAAAATGACAGAATTGTGAATACTTAATCTATTTTATGAGTTCCAGGTTATCAAAACATTCTCATCCGTGAAGGTATAGCTATACTGAACACGTAGGTGACACACAATAGTGTTAGTAACTCTAGATACCAGACAAAAACCTGCCGAAACATGACAAAAGCGTAAAGAAAAGTTTGTTTTTAAAAACCAGACCGAAAGTTATTAAACTAAACTCATAGAAACCAAAAAAAACCACAGAAGCATGACAAAAGCGTACAGAAATATGACCAAAATTTTAAAAACCAGACCAAAACATGAACAAAACATGAAGAAACCAGACCAAAACTTGAAGAAACTAGTCCAAAACATGAAGAAACCACAGCAAAACCTGAACTAATGTCTTTGTTTCATGTATCACACTGCAGGAGTAGGGTATAGTTACCTGAACTAATGTCTATGCTACAAGTATCAGCATTACAGGAGTAGGGTATAGTTACTTGAACTAATGTCTATGTACAAGTATCAGCACTACAGGAGTAGGGTATAGTTACCTGAACTAATGTCTATGTTACAAGTATCAGCACTATAGGAGTAGGGTATAGTTACCTGAACTAATGTCTATGTTATAAGTATCAGCACTACAGGAGTAGGGTATAGTTACCTGAACTAATGTCTATGTACAAGTATCAGCACTACAGGATTATGGTACAGTTACCTGAACTAATGTTTATATTACAAGTATCAGCACTACAGGAGTAGGGTATAGTTACCTGAACTAATGTCTATGTTACAAGTATCAGCACTACAGGAGTAGGGTATGGTTACCTGAACTAATGTCTATATTACAAGTATCAGCACTACAGGAGTAGGGTATGGTTACCTAAACTAATGTCTATATTACAAGTATCACCACTACAGGAGTAGGGTATAGTTACCTGAACTAATGTCTATGTTACAAGTATCAGCACTACAGGATTATGGTATAGTTACCTGAACTAATGTCATGTTACAAGTATCAGCACTACAGGGGTAGGGTATAGTTACCTGAACTAATGTGTATGCAAAAGTATCAGCACTACAGGAGTAGGGTTTAGTTACTTGAACTAATGTCTATGTACAAGTATCAGCACTACAGGAGTAGGGTATAGTTACCTGAACTAATGTCTATGTTACAAGTATCAGCACTGCAGGAGTAGGGTATGGTTACCTGAACTAATGTCTATGTTACAAGTATCAGCACTACAGAAGCAAAGATACACTTCAACATCAACCTATACAGAAGTCAGTAGAAAATTAACAGTGAATATTGAACAGTGAACAAGTATGAAAAGTTGAATTAATTTAAAGGACTGCATTTAAAGTGTCGTAATGCCTTGGCTTTTGATTTTTCCTTTCTACAACACAATCAATTTTTTGTAGCCCTAGACATGTTAATTTTAGAACTATTAAGTACTTAATCTTATTACCGGTGGTTGGGCTGGATTAACGGAGACGGATTTGAGTTCTCTCCTACAGGTTTGGGGATGAGCATAGATTGACTCCGAGCATCCCCGGAATACGGGCTTCTGGCGATCCCAATTTCCTAAAAAAAATTAATTATGTTAGGGAGGGGGTCAAAACTAATTTTATGAGACACCATGAAACTTGAAGGGCAAATATGCTGGGTTTATTGAGATTAAAGTCAAAACCTCTCTCAGTTCAGTCTAGAGCAGCACTAGGTTTGATTACGGTAAAAAATTGTTCTAAAGAATCAAATCACGGTTTTTGAAATAGAAGCAGAACAAAAAAAGGTTTGCAAAAGAAAGGTACATATAATAAAATAAGTAACTTCTCTGTTCCAACTATCATTTTACATAAACTTTGTGCATTTTCAAGTTGAAATGTTAAAAGGGCGTCTTGTTCTAAGTTTAAAAGATTATACTTTAGAACAAAGACCAACATTGCATGAGTTAAAATTTATTACATGTTATAAGTTAAGTTTTTAAAGATTTATTTAAGTTGATTTGGTTTTGAAAATATGAAATAAAGTTTAAAGTTGAATACATCCATATTTAATTAAAATAAAGTTCAAAGTTGAATACATCCAAATTTAACTAAATAAAGTTTAAAGTTGAATACATCCATCTTTGATTAAAATAAAGTATAAGGTTGAATACATCCAAATTTAATTAAAATAAAGTTTAAAGTTGAATACATCCAAAATTAATTAAAATAAAGTTTAAAGTTGACTAAATCCAAATTTAACTAAATAAAGTTTAAAGTTGAATACATCCATCTTTAATTAAAATAAAGTATAAATGGTTGAATACATCCAAATTTAATGAAAACAAAGTTTAAAGTTGAATACAACCATATTTAATTAAAATAAAGTTTAAAGTTGAATACATCCATAATTAATTAAAATAAAGTTTAAAGTTGAATACATCCACAATTAATTAAAACAAAGTGTAAAGCTGAATACATCCATATTTAACTTTAAAAAAGTTTAAAGTTGAATACATCCATACTTAATTAAAATAAAGTTTAAAGTTGAATACATCCATCTTAAATTAAAATAAATGTCCTAAAAATGTCCTTATGCAGATAACCAAAGTTTTAAGCAAAACGAGGTTTTGTTTAATTATGAAGATAAAAATATGATGATTTAGAATTTTATTCATAATTCTAAAGTTTTTAAGACACCATTAAACTAATTCTATTCGAAGCAATCCCGCTATGAGCCCCGGAATATTCTATTCGAAGCAATCCCACTATGAGCCCTGGAATATTCTATTCGAAGCAATCCCGCTATGAGCCCCAGAATATTCTATTCGAAGCAATCCCGCTATGAGCCCCGGAATATTCTATTCGAGCAATCCCACTATGAGCCCTGGAATATTCTTTTCGAAGCAATCCCGCTATGAGCCCCGGAATATTCTATTCGAAGCAATCCCGCTATGAGCCCCGGAATATTCTATTCGAAGCAATCCCGCTATGAGCCCCAGAATATTCTATTCGAAGCAATCACGCTATGAGCCAGGGAATATTTTATTCGAAACAATCCCGCTATGAGCCCCGGAATATTCTATTCGAAGCAAACCCGCTATGAGCCCCAGAATATTCTATTCGAAGCAATCACGCTATGAGCCCCGAAATATTCTATTCGAATCCAGGTAGTTTGCAGATCTCTTTTCGAACCCGTTCTTGAAGTCAAAATAGTACTCTCAGAAATTAATAAGTTAAAAAGTACTAATTTCAAATATTAAAACATTATGGGATAAACTATAAACAATATTTTTCAGCTCTATCAGTCATTTTTGCTTTAAATGTTCACAAACTGCTTAATCCAGCGTAACGGAGTTTTTAAAGTGGTGTTTATCAGTAAATTGGTCTCACTGGTTTATTCAGTAGTAAATTTGGAATTTGCAAAATCATTTTAGCGTAAACATATTTTTCTCCATCCTATACTCACAGTGATTTAATGGTTGCAAGCTCTCACCCCAAAATTGATGAGACTTTTTCCAATTACTTCTTAAAAAATAAAGCTAGAAATAAGTGCTTTAAAGTTCTAAAATGGTCAGGGATTGGGCTACACATTAAAAGTATAAGTATTTTGGAGCTGTAAAATCAAAGCTAAAGGCGTTGCGACGCTTCAAAGTCGACCCTGTCTTGTAAACTGAAGCAAATTTTTATAGCAGGATGAATCTATGTATACTGTAACTAATAAGCATTAAACTTTAAGATGTAAAATCTACGATCATCTAAAAATTAAACTTTAAGATGTAAAATCCACGATCTTCTCAAGATTAAACTTCATACGTTTAGACATTTTCAAGTTTATGAAGCCTTCAGCTAATCGAGGGAGAAACTTGAAATGGAAGGTCACTTAAAATTACGCTCACAGTCCCTTTAAACATTTAAAAGCTTCGCCTTCCGACAATTTTATTCAATCAAAGACTAAACCTCAAAACAGAATTAACTTTTCTATTAAAATAAACACCTCGGGCTAATTTAAGTTGACTTGTAAATTTTATGCAAATAAAGATGATGGTTTAAGAAAGATCAAACTTTTTTATATTTTTCAGTTTTTTCTAGAATATTAAATTTGTATAAACTTTTTGTTTAAATAATTTATGATAGCATTCAATTTGTCTAAAAATTCGAAAAGGCTAGAATTTAATTTAATTGCATTTATTTTTTACATTAAATCATGCCCCCCACACACACTTTCTCCGATATTCAGGTTTAACAAAAATGAAAATAAATGTTTCATGTTAAAATTTCAAAGATAAAAGATGTAAAGAAAATAATATTATTAGAATTACATTATTTTTTCTCCCTCAGGCGTTCCCCTCCCCTCTCATTTTTATTTTCATCAAAGTAGGGCCAAAAGGTTGTATCCTTAAACTATTTAAACCAAAGCCCCTTCATGTTTCGGAAACACCCTGTAGGTAGTGATGGAAAATACGTTGCGTCGTTTTTGAAGTTTAAAATGATCTAGCAAAAATCTGAAAAGTTTTACAAAATTTTAAATTATTTATTCTAAACATTTACTAACCTTTCACTTAGCACAATTTTTATTTTAAAAGAATATATATGGAAAAAAGTGAATAAAAAACGAGTGAAAATATTAGAGAAAAACGGACGTTTTACTCTTATATTTTCTAAGGATACTATTTGTTTGCATAGTTTAATAAAATCAACCTTTTACAATATACAATATCGAAATTTTGAAAACTTCTCAAGCAAATTTTTAATTGAATATAGCTCAATGAACATATATTGATCACTATTTTTCTTGTTTGTAAATATATCAAAAAATTGAGGCGGAAAATTTTTAAAAAAATTAAATTTTTGCATCTTTTATAAATCTTCGCAAAAATCATCGTAATTCCCAAAAATTCTAGTTTTTTCTCTAAAACCATCAAAGTTCTGAAAAAAAATTTAAATCCTGGTATCATTTTGGGTGTCAAATATCTATACATTGTAAATTTAAATTAAATAATTTCGATTTGAAGTCTTTAACTAAATCATGTGTTTACTAAGATGCCCTTTGTAAGTTCGTATGCAGGGCCGTAGTTGGGGTGGCGCGTGCCCCCCCCCCCTCCTCATAAAAATAACAGAAAGTGTTTTTTACTATGTGCACCCAATTTTTACCAAATATTATTATACCCCACCCCACCCGCGCCTAAAAAGCTACAATTTACGGCCCTGATGGTATGCTAATCTTTCTTTGAAAATATTTCTGAAAACCGATGAAACACTTCAAGAACTAGATTTATTTATATATCTCAAATTCATGTTCATTAAATTATTCAACAAAAATTTGATCAAAGCAAAACATATTTAGACAAAAGGGTCTTACACATACCATTGGTTTGAAAGCAGAGAAAAATAAAAAAAATCGATAAAAACATTTTAAATAATTCATGATGAATAATTTGCGCATTTTCTCATTTTGAAAATTTCTCTCCTTCGCGGGTTCTAAGGAAAAGTTTAAAGCAGTTTAATCCGTTATCAAACTTGGTAAAACTTTACAATACAATTCCACCCTGCTTCTTTAGATAAACTTTAATATTGAATTAGTTTAAAGTCAACATTAAACAACTCTTAGATATATTATAATGGAGCTTGAAGAGGGGTTTAGCGAGGGAAGGATAGGAGCATCCAATCCTCAAAAAAGAAAAATTGAACAATCATTAGAAGAGGATCCTTCATTTTGCGTACTATCCCGTTTTGCCTCATATAGTCTGTATTTGTACTGTACAGCTTGCTGTACTGGTAAAAAGTTGGCCCGGTATTTGAAATTAACCTGAATTTGCATTGTGTTAAATGTGTAGGTCTGTGCTAGCCTTTATAGGAAGTAAATTCGCTTAACGACGTCTCTAAAAACAAGCTTTTAAAATTCTAGTCTAAAAAACTTACCAATTGCTTTAAAGCAGCTTCTAACCCCCTTGGGACACTTCCTTATCCACATACTCATATCATATTCCTAGTTGGAACATTCTCATCCAACACATTTTCATAATTTACAATTTACATAATGGGCTTGAAGGAAAATAGAGAAGATGAAACCTGGAAGGGGGAGGGGGAGGGGGGGGGTTGTTCTCTCCATTTTGTTTTTACAAGAGGACAAAGTTGAGAATTAAAGAAGAAGCGAGACCACAGTTATAAGGCTGGTCAACGTCCTATTAACGAACGGCACGTTTTTGAAAAGTAGCAAACGGAAAAAACGGTTAATTTTAAAATTGTTAACGAACGATACTAATCATTCATAAAAAAGAACGAACGAACGTGTTTTAAGAAAACTGCGCGACTTTCGTTTATTTTCTGCTTAAAATAACATGAAACATACTAAAAATAAAGTATACATTTTTGTGTTTTTTGTTGTATTTTTAAAGTTTTGATGTTTTTGTTCTTATTTTTTATGTGAAATAATCGTGAACCTCTCTTTAACTGAGCCAGTCGTTAACGATTTCTAAAATATCTTATTAATAAGATTGAGATCGTTAAAGAATGGTATCTTAAAAAGATCGGAAAATACCGTTAACTGAACGGAACGTTCGGTTCTTTGCTAAGAACGAACAGATTTTTGAAAAGTTTGTCTTTTTAACAAATTTAGCTAACCGTCAACCAACTTTTTTTGTATTTGCAAACATTTTAAACAAAATTTAACAGTTAGGAACCTGGAGCTGATTTAAATTTAGGAATTATCTTTAATACTTGGGAACAATCTACAACAGTTAGGAACAATTGATAATAGTTAGGAACAGCTGACAATAGTTAGGAACAATTGACAATAGTTAGGAACAGCTGACAATAGTTAGGAACAATTGACAATAGTTAGGAACAGCTGACAATAGTTAGGAACAATTGATAATAGTTAGGAACAGCTGACAATAGTTAGGAACAATTGATAATAGTTAGGAACAGCTGACAATAGTTAGGAACAGCTGACAATAGTTAGGAACAGTTGACAATAGTTAGGACAATTCAAAATTGTTAGAACCAATTGAGTATATTCATGAACTAAACAGTTCCAAACAAAAGTTCGAAACAGTTTATAACAGATAAACCCAATTCATAATAGTTAGGAACAGTTAACAATAGTTAGGAACAATTCACAAAATTAGGGAACCAAATTTACAATAAAAAAGGAACGATCAACAAAGACAACAAAAACTAAAATTTCTATAAAAAATAATTAGAAAAGAATGTTCCTTTGGAGGTTTAGGAACTGCAACCCTCCACTCTCTCATTGCATTTGTACACCTAGATAAATACGTTCTTTAGTTGTCAGTTGATATAAAAGATTGGAGTAAAAAGTTGGCGTCCTCTCCACTTTTCCAGGATATCAATTTATCACAATCTAGGCTTTTATTTTTCTTAATATACTTACTTTCCTGGCACAACAGTTCCATTGACAGTAGTATCCGGAGCACAGGTTGTAATCTGGGTTCCGTTCTCGCTGAGTAGAGGTTCCGACTTATTCACATAGGTCACCCATCTACAGGGAAAAAGATGATAAGTGAGTTAAGTGTAGTTTTGGTTTACAATCATTGCAGATATATGTACTTACGTTCTAGGAGCTAGTTCTTGGCCTGCAAACTTATAGTTTCCACTCAGACCATTATCCATAAGATCACAACTATGGTTGTACATCTTCTTGTTCACTCCTGGATCCGTCCCATAGGTATCCTAGGATACCAGAGATACAGTCTTTTAGAGATAAAGAAATGAATAGATATTATCACACAAAGAAACAGAGGTATAGAGATCTGATATATAGATTCAAAGATATAGACGCATAGAGATTTTGATATATAGATACATAGATATAGAGATACAGAGATAAAGAGAAATATATCCAGAGATATAAATACACAGATATAGAGATATCAAAATAAAGATATTTGTAAAAGAATGAAGAAAACGATTGATAAAGCAAAACAGAATTAAAAATGGCGTCGCGACATCTAAAGAAATATAAAGGAATGAAAGAAATAAAAAGACAAAGAGATATAAAAATATCCAGCTGAATTAAAGAGATAAGATCAAACTGTTCATTAGTAAATGAATTTATGAAAACAAACCTGTTCATCCTTTTCAGGGTCAATAGTTGGTAGTCCACAGGAGTAACAGCTTACACTGTCCCATTCTCCCCATCCTATCCTATACAATATACTGTCCTATTCTCCCCATCCTATCCTATACAATATACTGTCCTATTCTCCCCATCCTATCCTATACAAGATAATGTCCTATTCCTCCCATCCTATCCTATACAATATACTGTCCTACTCTCCCCATCCTATCCTATATAACATACTGTCTCATTCTCTTTTTCCTATCCTATGCAATATACTGTCCTATTCCTCCCATCCTATCCTATACAATATACTGTCCTATTCTCCCCATCCTATCCTATATAACATACTGTCTCATTCTCTTTTTCCTATCCTATGCAATATACTGTCCTATTCTCCCCATCCTATCCTATACAATATACTGTCCTATTCTCCCCATCCTATCCTATACAATATACTGTCCTATTCTCCCCATCCTATCCTATATAACATACTGTCTCATTCTCTTTTTCCAATCCTATACAATACACTGTCCTATGCTCCCCATCCCATCATATACAATATACTGTCCTATTCTCCCCATCCTATCCTATACTGTCCTATTCTCCCCATCCTATCCTATACAATATACTGTCCTATTCTCCCCATCCTATCCTATGCAATATACTTTCCTATTCTCCCCATTACTGTCCTATTCTCCTGACCCTAAAACATTTTTCTTTCCATAAATAGATTGAAACATATAAAATCCTCCCTTGTGTGTTTAGTATTGGAACTCTCTCTAAAACCTATTTTATGTATTGTAAAATATCCAATTTTTCTCTTTTATAAGAACATGTTTGTCAAACTAATGAGTTTATCTTTTTACTCACACTGTACAGGGAAGGGAGAGGAGAAGGACGAGAAAGGTTTGTTTGTCCATTCCCAACTACTCCGGGTACTGCTGGGAACACAGCTCCTGGTTTACCGTTCTCCAGACAACAAACAATTACTGATTAAATATTAATCATTGATAGTTCTCCGTCCCAACCCTGGTGTTTACTCAACACCACAATATTATACTAAACCGGGTTATCATCCTCTATTCTTTAGCTGAAAAAGGAGGATCATGATCAGAGATAAATATATATTTGGTCCCGTCTTTAGTGTCTGCTTTATCTATTGTAACCTCTCTCGACTGCTATTCATATAATTATCAGAAAAAAGTTGTACTGAATGGCATACGTAAATTAACGCAATTTAAATAAAAATTATGACTATAAAAAGTACATCGAATCTAGGACAAAGTACAACTGATCTGATCATAACATAAACAAAACGCGTACTGTATGTTTGTGTTACCTTGAAATTTAATTTTATTGGTCAAACAGGTCCAGATAGCAACACTTGAACTATACAGAATGCAATACGCGTACTGTATGTTTATATAACACAAATGCGTATTTCCAATAGATGGCAGCAGGGGGAGAAAGGAATATAGAAAGTAATCAATTTGCTATAGATGTCTCTCCTTGCACTTTATCTAAGAGGTACAAAAATTAGTTGTCTGCTACAAGCAATTAAGGAAGGAGGTTTCTACCTGCCAGCGTATCTATACATATATTATTTTTGAGTTCTCCCCACTTACTCTGATTTTTAATCCTTAAATTACTGCAACATGATGTCGTGGACCTTTAATATTTCAAACTGAGAATTCTTTTAGACAAAAAAGTCTATGTTTAAGTATCAAAGGTTTACACTAGAAGGTTGCAAAGGAATTAGAAAATTTTAGTTTTTTTTAATTAGAGCTAGTTTTATCAAACAATGTCAAAGGTTGGAGCTAGCGGCATAATTTTGCTGGGAGGAGGACCGGGTCTGTGCAATTTATAATCTAATAGTTTATAATCTGCGACGTTATTTATTTACATTAAAACCTGTTTACGTTCAAATATTCCACAAATAAACAAATTCTATTCTTAGTTTTACGCTCATTGTACTAAACTATATGTTCAAACCTGAATCCATAGATTGAGCAAACTGTATCAAGATTAAAGATTGATGACTTCTTTCCTACGTATTCTACAGTACAGAGTAGTATTATAGTGAAATACACAATATCTATGTTTATATACGCATTGCAGATTCGAAAATATAGTCTATATAGTCTATATAGTCTATATGTGACTCATAAACTGATTCCATCCTTTATCAAGTCTGCTTTAAACATATGTTAGGGTGCAGGTGCAGGTGCAATTACTCTGAACCGTATCATTGCAATCAACTTTGCAACTTGCAGTTCTCAGGTTTAGGAGTTTTCAGGGGATTGAAACAAACGGATGAGAATACACTGAATTGGGATAAGATGTCTAACAGTTTTTAAAAGGTTCTCAAACCATTATGATGTCTCATTCAAAATAAGTTACAATAAATTAACAACGAATCTTCATTACTTAGTGCAGCAGCAGATAGCATGTGGTGTACACTGTACAGCTGTACATTCTACACTGTTGTACAGTTAAATACAGTAAAGTGTAAACTTAAAAATACCACTTTTTACATACGACTGGAAGTTACTATGATAAAAGAAAAAACTATTTTTTGTTCCACTTTTTCTCAAAGAATCAAAATTTTACATATCACACTGAACTAGACATAAGGAGAATTGAGACCTCGTAGCTCCTATAGATATATGTCAATTTACTTTAGTTAAACGTGATATATGGCAATTTACTTCAGTTAGACGTGATATATGTCAATTTACTTTAGTTAGACGTGATATATGTCAATTTACTTCAGTTAGACGTGATATATGTCAATTTACTTCAGTTAGACGTGATATATGGCAATTTACTTTAGTTAGACGTGATATATGGCAATTTACTTTAGTTAGACGTGATGTATGTCAATTTACTTCAGTTAGACGTGATATATGGCAATTTACTTTAGTTAGACGTGATATATGTCAATTTACTTTAGTTAGACGTGATATATGGCAATTTACTTNTATTTCAGAGTATATCATCCTTTGATGTATATATTTCAGAGTATATCATCCTTTGATGTATATATTTCAGAGTATATCATCCTTTGATGTATATATTGCAGAGTATATCATCTTTTGATGTATATATTTCAGAGTATATCATCCTTTGATGTATGTATTTCAAAGTATATTCAAATAGCAAATGGGGCTCAATATATGTACTGTAATTTTTCGAAACCTTTGATTACAAAATATATTTTTAAACGTGAAGTCTTATCCTATAGTTTCACCCAACACTTTACATTACGCATATCCTTGTTGTTCAGATGAACTGGATGAACCTACATGGAGTAAAGTTATCTTTACTCTGATCTGACTACGTACGTAGATGAATCAGTTCTCATGAAACGGGAGTTTTCCGTCCCAGGATCTGCGCTTTATACAGTCTAAATTCGTAGTTCAGATATATGTCATGATACTGGGATGGTACCAACTTGTACCTAACCCAATATATGTGTACTGGATATTTCTATGGACCCGAGATTTTCAGAGAGAAGAATCTTCTTTCCAACCCCGAAAAAAGGTTATATTATGCTTTATTTTTCCTTTAGGAATTTGTAAGAAAGTCTTAACTTTGATTCTTTTCAAAAATTGGATTTTATTTTCATTAAATGCGTCTTTTTGTTTCGTTTGAACAATTGTGTTTTCTAAAAAAAAATTCTTACTAGGAGAGACTTTTTTGTGATTTTTTGACGAGGATTGCAAATTTTCCCAGGTTCAGAGCTCTAAATGCACGAACTTCATATACAGATATACTAACGTTGTACAAAGCACATTGTTGTACCGTACATTTAACTTTGTACAATGCACAGTTTATATATTGTAAACTTTACTTCTGAATTTGAACATTGTACAAAGCACATTTATAAAGAACATTTACAAAGAACATTTACAAAGAACATCGAACTTGTATACTGCACAGTGCACATGATTACTAAATAAAAAAACGTTTCTAATGATAAGAAAATAAGACTTAAAGAAAAATACTTATAAACGGAAAAACTGGACTGCATAGTCACCATGACAATATTTCTAATCATCATTAGACTTTATCATTTTACTCCGTTTTATATTGATTTTTTAAGAATTAGCAAGAATGTAATGCAAGCAAAGTTAATTGCAGTTGCGTATACTCTGCGTGCATATTGAAACCAGTTCTCTCTGGGCGGACTTTGTAAACAAGAATAGATGCCTCAGTGTTCGTTTAGTATCCGATGAGGTCAAAAGCATTGAATTTTGATAATTTTGATAATTCACATAATCTAGTTTCCTATGACCAGAATATTTCATTGATTATTTATGTGAAAGATGGATCACATGTCAGGCTTCGACATCCGTCTTGTGTTGACATTACCGCCCAGTGACAGTACACTGCAGTACAAAAGATGAGTACACCTCTGAAATAACTTTCCTTGAGAATTAGGATCACTTTTGAAAGAACTCTTCAAACTTATCCAAAAAGGACACGATCGAATCCTATTCAAGTTTTTAAACGTTTATAAATAAATTACATCAAGAAGAAAATAAAAGTATCAAAAGTTTGAAAATATAATCTTATCCTTCAATGCAGGGTTTTTGATTAAAATACGCCATGACAACTAAAGATGAATAATTAAAGACAATTACGCATCAAAACTTCTCCAAATCACCTTCAACCCTTTTTGTTGTTGAGCTGAACGTGCTGAAGTGACAACCTTTATTGTTTGGATAAAATATTCATTTTTAAACATTAAAGAAATTCCTGTTTTCTGAATGATTGTAAAGTATTTAATAAATTGCGTCACGTCAAGGTTTTACTAAATGCATTTCTACTTTTCTCCTTTTCCTGCCATTTATGTTACTTGAAAGTGAAAGTATGCGCGGGTGCGTGATATGCGAGTATTTTATCCGTTCAACGATTCTCCGGAACTTCAGTAAATACGTCCAACCCGACATAGCTCCAGTCTCTCTCTCCAGTTTATAGTTATATATGGGAACTAGAGATTAACTTCAGTTTTAGACCCACACTAGAGCAGAGAAGAGATTAATCTTATTCATCCTCATTACTATTCTTACTCATACATAATTTACAGACTCTGGGTATACCAGCTCAAGGCCTGCTGATTAATAAATTCTTTCTCCTGGTCTCCTTGGACACTTGAAAACACGAAGGAAAGCAGAGGAGCTAACATGGGAACACCAGTTAATAAACCTGGCTCAAACCCACTACAGACCCAGAGTATTCCTATATTAAACCCGTACCAGGAGATGGATCTGGACGGATACCGACTCAACCCTCCTCCGACCAAGAAATGGGTCAAGTTTCAAGATTACGACGAAGAAGCTCTTCTATATAAAACAATTGACAGACGACGGTCCACAAATGATATATTCACTCTCTCCTCCTCCCTCTCCTCCGAGAGTAGTTTCGGATCCGCCGGAGAAGGAGGGAAACTCTCTTCAAGATTATCCAACCCATGTCTTGAGGAGGTAACCAAAGAGTTTATTTTTAACTCAAGTTTCGGTGGATACAAACAGAACGGAGATGCTGCATCCCTGAGAACCATGTTCGAGCCTCCTTCGAGAAAATCGTCCCATCTCCAGCGGGTTCCAACAGGTTCCTCCTTCTGCTCAGAAGAATCTATTTCTCCGCTCTGGTCACCTAATGTCAAACTTAAATTCGTCGCATTTGACGAAGTTCGGTCGCAAGAGAAAAGATCGGCGGAGATCAATTTTGATGAAATGTCAAAGTATTCAGCGTTTGATGAGATCCGTAAAAGTGGAGTTGGTTCAGGGTGGAGTACAGATCTGGTGGGTCTCAGTTCGAATGGTTTAAAAGAAGATATAAAGGTTAATTCTTGTTTTATTTGAAAGTAATTTAGAAAAACTCAATTTTTTCTTAAATAGTTAATATTTATGAATTCTGTAAAATAACTTTATGAAAAATGACATCCCATAAAACTTTAAAATTGACTTTTACAACTGGGATGGAATTATCTTGCTTTTAATCAGAAATTGTACGGATGTTTTCGCAGGCTTAGGTCCCACAGATATTTTCGGATAAAAATATAGTTGTAATAAACTCACTAATCTTATACTCGTCGATCTTGCAGGAATTGTCCAGGTAAAGATTATTCAATCTTTCTGCAGAGATTGCGAAACAGATTACACAGATATAATATCAGAAGAACTATTCTTGAAATCATATATAAGGATATTTACATGGTTTTTTTTCGGACAAAGGGCCGCATATCGAGTGCATGTAACTCTTTAAATTAGTGGTCAGAGCTGAAAACTTTAGAATTAGATATCCTTAATCCTGATCGCTTAATCTAAATATCCACTGTGGAAACTTTTAATTTTCTTTTTGATCCGCTCTTTCTGGTTCACATTTCCTACAAAATGTAATAAAGATACTTTTGATTACAAATACGGAAACAATGCTATATCGATTGGACTAATATCCGATTGAACTAAAGTCACAAGCTGGCTTTTAGAGCATTTACACAAATATAAATTTAATCATGTTAATATGAACATACTAAAAAACATTTTTTTCATGTTTGAGTCCTTTTGAATGTTAATCTTAATATAGCTCAAAGCTTAATTAAAATAACATCGACTTTTTCTTTTAGTTTAAAGGGAGTGTTCGCGAAAAATGAAAGGGGGTATAGGCTTAATGCGATAAAAAAGCGCTTTTGATCGCTTCTAATCCTACTTCTATCTGTTGCGTCTATAAGGAGAAAATTGTTAAAAACGAATTATACCGAAGAACGTAGTGTCCATACAAATTCAGAAAGATGCAACATACGACTTAGATCGTAAAAAAAACCTATTTAATTTCAAACAAATCATTCAGATATTACACCCTATGGTCATCGATTATCTTTCGCCACATTTGTATATAGTTGATTTTTCATAATTAGATTAGAAGCGATCAAAAGCGCTTTTTTTATCGCATTAAGCCTTTACCCCCTTTCATTTTTTGCGAACACTCCCTTTAAGCTTTGACAACTAGATTAATTTATCTCTGAAGCAAACCTTTATTCTTGATCTAATTCTTAATTAAATAAGTATTTAATCCTTTGTTTGAAAATAATATTCATTAGTGATTCGATAAAACTTTTTTTTATTTAATTCTAATCTTCTTTTTTAATTTAATTCTTTATTCTGAAATTCAATCCTACCTTCTTTAATTCAATCCTATATTCTTTAATTAAAATTTTCATTCGATCTTGCATTCTTTTGATTCAATTCTTTATTCTTTGATTTAATTCCATATTTTTAAATCAATTTTTTTTTCTTTAATACAATCCTTTATTCTTTAATTTAATCTTTCTTTCTTTTGATTCAATCCTTTATTCTTTGATTAAATTCTTTATTCTTTAATTTAATTCTTCATTCTTTAATTCTCATTCCTTATTCTTTAAATCAATTCTTTATTCTTTAATACAATTCTTCATTCTTTATTTCAATTTTTCATTCTTTAAATCAATTCCTTATTCTTTAATTCAATCCTTTATTCTTTAATCAAATTCTTTATTCTTTAATTTAATTCTTCATTCTTTAATTCAATCCTTTATTCTTTAGTTCAATCCTTAATTCCTTAATTCAATCCTTTATTCTTTAATTCTCATTCCTCATTCTTTAAATCAATCCTTTATTCTTTAATTTTATTCTTCTTTAATTCAATCCTTTATTCTTTAATTCTCATTCCTCATTCTTTAAATCAATTCCTTATTCTTTAATTCAATCCTTAATTCCTTAATTCAATCCTTCTTTCTTTTAATTCAATCCTTTATTCTTTAATTCAATCCTTTATTCTTTAATTCAATCCTTTATTCTTTAATTCTCATTCCTCATTCTTTAAATCAATTCCTTATTCTTTAATTCAATCCTTTATTCTTTAATTATATTCTTTATTCTTTAATTTAATTCTTCATTCTTTAATTCAATTCTTTATTCTTTAATTCAATTCTTCATTCTTTAATTCAATCCTTTATTCTTTAGTTCAGTCCTTCATTCTTTAATTTAATTCTTCATTCTTTAATTCTCATTCCTTATTCTTTAAATCAATTCTTTATTCTTTAATACAATCCTTCATTCTTTATTCCAATTTTTCATTCTTTGAATCAATCCTTTATTCTTTAGTTCAATCCTTAATTCCTTAATTCAATCCTTCTTTCTTTTGATTCAATCCTTTATTCTTTAATTCAATTCTTTATTCCTTAATTCAGTCCTTCATTCTTTAATTAAATTCTTTATTCTTTAATTCAATCCTTTATTCTTTAATTCAATTCTTTATTCTTTAATTAAATCCTTTATTCTTTAATTCAATCCTATATTCTTTAATTAAATCCTTTATTCTTTAATTAAATTCTTTACTCTTTAATTCAATCCTTTATTCTTTAATTCAATTCTTTATTCTTTAATTATATTCTTTATTCTTTAATTATATTCTTTATTCTTTAATTTAATTCTTCATTCTTTAATTCAATCCTTTATTCTTTAATTCAATTCTTCATTCTTTAATTCTCATTCCTCATTCTTTAAATCAATTCCTTATTCTTTAATTTAATCCTTTATTCTTTGATGTACTATTTTATTTTCATAATTCAATCCTTTATTCTTCATTCTGTATTTCAGTTTTTAATCATTGTTTTTCTTCCTTTGAATATTTGCCCTAGTTCAATCCCAATTATATTCCTAATCCTACCTTCTCTCAAAACAATCTCTATAAAATCTTCGTTTAATCCTTTCTCGATAAAATATCTTATTCGATTTTACTCTGTCAACTTTTCAATCGATCAATACATTACAATATATTTATCATATCGTCCCCCCCCCCACTAAATAAAATCTTGTATACGCCCCTATTCAAATCCTCATAACTCCGTTGAGCCATTTATTGAGTTAGTAAGCTATATTTAAAATGTGAGAATGATTGAATTTCGTTACAGAATTCAAACTTACCTTATAATTCATGACTCATGGTGAAACTAATCGTGTTTATGGTTCCGGACGAATCAATGAAACTTTCTGATTTTTATTCACAGTTTTTAACGAAACCTTCAAAATTTTTAATAATTCGATCAGAATTTTTCCTTTTTTTAAATTCCATTTTCTGATTTAGTCTGATGTTGGAGGTTACCGACCTCGTTCTCTAGATCTTCTCTCTCCTGGAAACCTAGAGGACAGGGTGACTGTAGAGACCCTCTCAACCCCGGAGATGACTGGTCTGAGGACGATCAGCTGGCCGAGATCGCCGACCAGATCATTCGTCAGGAACTTTCCATAGATTTTCAACAATATTTATTTCAGTTAATTGATTTTATTTTTCTATTAATATCATGGTCTCACTGCGTAAATGTCTTGCTTTCTAAACCTACTGCGTAGTTACTAACCTGATAAAGGGTATGATGGCAAAGGAATTGAGTCCTTGCCACAAATTCTGTTTTTCTAATCCCTATATCTTTTGAACCCAATGTCGTAAACCTTTGATATTTCAAACTAATATTATTTGATCTAACAGAAGTCATAGTTTGAAATATCAAATGTCTGCAACTTTGGACTGCAAAGATATAGGAATTAGAAAATCAGAGTTTGTGACAAAGACTCAATTCCTTTAGAATAGTTCATAAAATCAACAATCTACACGACTTATACTTTCAAATAATTCCTATAATGTGATATTTATAAGATTAGAGTTTACTAAGGTATTTAAGGAAATAATTTAATTAATATTAATTAGATATAGTCATTGTAATTTTGGCAATTACAATACAATACAATACAAACACTCAAATTTTTTGGAATTAGCAACAAAACTTAGACGATTTTACCGCTCAATGAATATTTAGAAAGCCCGGGTTTTTCGTGGATTTTATAGATATTTCTCGTACTTTGGCTAACCAAGATACTTTTACATTCTCAATTATGTTTGAATATATTTAATCTTATTTCGAAATAAAGAAAAATTGTGAACCTAAAACAAAAGTTTTAGGCGTACCTTAGACAGTCTCTGTCATGATTATTTAACACAAAAAATATCTTTTGATTCACAACTACCCGTTTTTAATATTTATAGTCTTCAATATTCTCAAAGTTTACGTTTTTCCAAAATATAATCTTTAGAAGATTGTACTTTTATATTTGATAAAAATCTACTTTAAATGTGATAAATACGAAAATTGTAATTATAATCATAAGATACCTGTTTTGCAGTGAGTTTTAAAACAGAAAATTTATTAGAAGAATTTATCATTAATTCTTCAAGCAAAGTTTAAATTTAATCTATTTTATTGAATATTTATATCTAATTATTTATTCAGTTATTAATAAATATTATAATAAAAAGTTATAAAAATTCAGAACATATAAACTTAACATTAATGCTCCATAGAAAATCTAATAACAAATATCTACAAATTTACAACAAAGGAAAGTTTAAATATATTTTTAAAATTTAATAAATCTGTTCCAAGAAAACTAAATATTTTTAGTCAATTCAAAATTTGTTGATATATTTTTCTAAAAGTAAGCGGAAAATTCAAACCAGCAACCAGTTTTAATATAATATGTTTCTATGATATGTTAACATAATGTATTTAATTTGTTTAATATTGTAAATTAAAAATTTTAATTTGTTTAGTTTAAATCTATAGACTTACAGCTGGGTTTTATAGATTTGAGATTTATTTTTAAGACTCAATAAAATATTAGCTTTGTTAATTAGAGACTTTTAAGTTAAACTTTTAAAAAATATGATATCTTTAATTTGACGACACCTCTTATCTCATGAAAACATAAAATATACGTTTACCCATAAAGAATCACAGCTTTATAAATATTAGAATCCTGAAGTCTCCGAATGTTTTGATAAATTATAGCACAAAAAAGAAACAATTTTAAAGTTTTAGTAAAAGTGCAATCGTCTCAGAATTCTCATTTTTGTGGTAAACCTTTATATAGTGTCATTGAAACAAAGAAATTGACTTTTTGCCACGAACTCTGATTTTCTAATTTCAATATCTTTGCAGCCCAATGGCGTAGATCTTTAATATTTCAAACTATAAATGCTATTAGATCAAATAATGTCAGTTTGAAATATCAAAGGTTTACATCATAAGGTTGCACAGATATAGGTTTTACAAGAACTGAATGTGTGGTAAAGAATCAATTCCTTTCTTCACGAATTTTCAAACTTTTAAAAACCATCCTAACATTTACAAAAAAGAGAAAGGAATTGAGTCTTAGCCACAAACCCAAATTTCAAAATCCTAATATCTTTGCAACCTGAATGTTTAAACTTTTTATATTTTAAACTTAAATTATTTGATCTAACAAAATATATAGTTTGAAATATCAAAGGTCTACAACATTGGGTTGCAAAGGATTAGGATTAGAAAGTCAAAGTTTGTGGCAAACTCAAATCCTTTTCTTGATCAAAGGAATTGAGTCTTTGTCACAAACTAAAATTTTCAAATCCTTATAACTTAACAAGTTGATGTTGCAAACCTTTGATATTTCAAACTTAGATTATTTGATCTACCAGAATTCATAGCTTGAAATATCTAAGGTCTACAGCATTTGGTTGCAAAGATTTAGGGATTAGAAAATCTGAGTTTGCAGCAAAGACCCAAATCCTTTGAACAGAGTTTTTTTTTTACACTGTGCGAAATAGACTAATATATTTGAAATAATTACAACTTTTATTAATTTTGATGTTGTTTGATTTGATGAAATGTGGCTTTGCAGAGGATGGCTAATCCCAGAATATTCACGGATCCAGTATTTTACCATTTCAAAGTGTTTTAAAATAAAGGAAATCTGAAGCTTGAAAACAGATGTGAGTAAATCTACAGAGAAGACCCAATTTATCTTCAACTTCCGGGTAACTTTTAACATGACATTAAGAAGACGACTTGATTTTTGAAATGATTTGCGGCATTTGTTCGTAAATCTTCATTTACATTTTACGTGAATTAACTTAAAAACAACAATCACAAACTTCTTCTAGACTTTACAAAAAAAGGCTTTGGCCATATGTCAATATTACCGGAAATATTCAGAATTCAGATTTCAATTTATTAAATAAACCCAAAATTGTGGAAATCTGAACAAAAAAATCTTTAAATAACTGGTAACATTGAAATCACTAAAAATGCAGAATTAAGGTTATTTGTTTATTTTATTATTAACTCAATAATATTTCTGAAGGTAGTATATAGTATACGAAAAATGCAGAGAATTAGCTTTCAAAAATCAACGACGACCTTCGAGTCGCTTTTCTGCTGTCATGCTTCGTGTGACGCCTTATAGCATAGAAGAACAGGGTTTATTAGACAAAGAGCATATAAGCAGGCGACAGTTTCTACCGACTCTGTAATCATTCATCCTCTCAGGACATATCCCAGAATGGGCCTCATTATATGCATCCATTCTCCGCACCCATTCAGCTCAACCACAGAGTTCAAGAAATTACACAAGAATAAAAACTTTATTGAGATTAATGTATTCTGCAATTCATTCTTTATTTTTAAAATAAAAAAGTTTTTTTTTCTCCTGGAAAACCATAATCATAATAAACCATTTTGCATTTAAAAAATTGACAACTTTTGCAAATAAAAACCTACCACTGGAGCACAAAAATAACTATTATAATTTTAGATTGTAATGCTCATTCATAAATCTATATTTGCTAAATTTTAGATAGAATATTGCTAGTTCTTTTTTATCATCCTCCCACCTCTTACAGTAGGACTATAAAATCATTATCAAGAAATGAGCCGTCTTTGCTCTTTATTCCAAACAGAAATGCCGCAAAATATTTTGTAATTTGCAACTGTTAAATATTCAGCATTTGTCAGTTATTACTTATAAAAATCATAAATCACAAAAACCGGCCTTTGTGGCATTTCTATTAAAAGAAAGAGCGAAGACGACAATCGTTCTACTTTATTTGGTTATCACTGTTAGTATTTGTATAAAGGATTTGCAACGGTACCCTTTAAACCTTTATCTGAGAAACGATGGCTTACAATCCACCTCGTATCTTTCTTTAAAAAATACAAATTTTCAAAAAAATCTCACAATTTCTAGAAAAGCTTTACCCTTGTAGATTTTCATGTTAGGGTATACCGCAGAAATTCTAAGACGGCACTCTTTGGATTGGGTTGACAACCCCTTCCAGCTAAATTTATTTGTTTGAAAGTACAAAAATTTTATGTGAGAAAACACAATATTGGGGAAAAAATATGAAACTTCTTTTTTTACAAAAATAGTTCGTTCAGTTTATTAAATAAATATCAGGTTATCACAGATTTTGTTTTTAATATGAAAACAATTGTGTTCGAAAGCTAGTTTTCGAAAATGTTTTTATGTTTATATGTTAATAACTTGAATAATGGAAATGAGTTTTTGTCACAAAGTCTGATATTCAAATTCCTATATCTTTGCAACCCAATGTGGTAAACCTTTGATATTTCAAACTATGAATTTTGTAAGATCTAATGATCTGAGTTTAAAATATAAAAGGTTGGCACCATCAGGTTGAAAAGATTTAGAGATTTACAAATTTAAGTTTTTAGCTAAGACTCAATTCCTTTGTCACAATGTACTATTGCATTACAATTTCAGATACAGGGTGTCACAATAAACCTATTATCTATGTTTCATTCGACATTATTTCTTTAACACACTTTATAAGTAGCACATTGAAAACTTTTTTTCTTGTGATTTCCAAAATGTGGTCTAACATTTTTGCACATTCAAGATTGACGGAGATATTGAGAAATTTCTTTAGATTCCTTTAATTGACTTACAACATAACTTTTAAAAGTTTATTATCTCAGTCAATTTTAAATATATATGTGCAATCTAATTATGATGTACAAAATTTTCATTTATTTATTATCGGAAATTAATGACGAATTTTAAGTCGTCTTTTAACTCCCAGCAATATTTATTGGGACACCCTGTACATATAAACATAACAAAATAAATGTAAATGACTTTTCAAGATTTCACCTAATCCAGTCTGCAGCAAGCCAGTGTCTTGGTATGAATTGTTACCCAACCCTTTCATTCAGTTGTAATTGTTACCCAACCCTTTCATTCAGTTGTAATTGTTACCCAACCCTTTCATTCAGTTGTAATTGATACCCAAACCTTTCATTCAGGTGTAATTGTTACCCAACCCTTTCAATCAGTTTAAATTTTTACCCAACCCTTTCATTCAGTTGTAATTGTTACCCAACCCTTTCAATCAGTTTTAATTGTTACCGAACCCCCTAAAACGCCCCCTTAACCTAACCTGCTCCTTTGTAACTTACTGAGGAGTTTGTTGTAGGTAGTCCAAAACTTCTCATCTATTCACAACACTTTTTAATTCCTTGCTTAGTGGCAGATTTTAGTTCAGTTCATTTACTTTCTCTACACCATGTTACCCAACCCGCATAACCTAACCTACTCCTCTATGCTCAACCTAACATACTCCTTTATACTCCACATAACCTACTACTCTATACTGCACCTAACTTAGTCCTCTATACTCAACCTAACCTACTCCACTATACTCCACCTAACCTACTCCTCTATACTCCACCTAACCTACTCATCTATTCTCCACCTATCCTTCTCCTGTATACTTCAGCTAACCTACTCCTCTATAATCCACCTAACCTTCTCTTCTATACTCCAGCTAACCTATACTTCTCAATAATCCACCTAACCTACTCCACTATACTCCACCTAACCTTCTCATCAATGCAACAGCTAACCTATACTTCTCTATACTCCACCTAACGTTCTCCTCTGTACTTCACCTAACCTACTCCACTATACTCCACATAACCTACTCCACTATACTCCACCTAACCTTATCCTCTATACTCCAGCTAACCTATACTTCTCTATAATCCACCTAACCTACTCCTCTAAGATAATAGTAGATTAGAACACTAGAGATGTAGAGATAATAGTAGATTAGAACACTAGAGATCTAGGGATAATAGTAGATTAGAACACTAGAGATGTGAGATAACAGTAAATTAGAACACTAGAGATCTAAAGATAATAGTAGATTAGAACACTAGAGATCTAAAGATAACAGTAGATTAGAACATTAGAGATCTAGAGATAATTTATCCTCAAGTAGTGTTTATTTATATATACTTATTTGAATATATTTATTCAATATTCTTGGGAATATTACATTTTGTACTAAATTTGAGAGAATTCAGACCGCATAAAACCTGGAATATATTGAATACTTTGAAAAGAAGTTTCCTTTGAATTTTTTTTAACTTTATTTATTTTTATAAGAAACATGATGATGCTTTGTGAATAGTTTAATATACATAATTAAAATCCAAACTTCTTTTCTAGAAGACTAAAACTTTAACAAAACAAAAAAAGTCAAATTATAAAATCAATTTTCAACTTAATATAAGTTTAAACTTAAACTAATCTCCAGAAACGTATGACGTAGATTCAGCTGAACTGAGTGTACACACTTTCTAACTTTAATACTGAGATTTAATTAACCTTTACTTATTAGATGTCTGTATAGTGATGTGCTCTATACAACGAAACTTCACACTTTTAGATGACATTTTAACATATTGATGAAAGCCACAAATTCTGATTTATTAGTTTCTATATCTTTGCAACCTTTTACATTTCAATCAATTAGATTATTTGATCTAACAGAATTGAAAGTTTGAAATATCAATAATACTGCATTGGGTTTCAAAGATATACGGATTAGAAAATCTGAATTTGTCGCTTTCATAAATATGTTAAAGGTGCTTGTCAGGAATAAAGAAATGACATCTAAAAGTATAAAATTTCGTAAATTTTGGAAAAGTTTTAAAAATTAAAAACTCGCTGAAAAGTTACTGTAAAAATCTAAACTCATTTCCATTACATAAATACCGTTCAATCTAAATATCTTTAAAAAAACATTTTGATAATTTTTTTAAAAATCTACTTTATTTATTTTTGGTTTGCGTCAGATAAATGTAATTTTGGTTGTTTAGAAAAAAAATAAGTAAAAACATGCTCATGAATAGAATGTTATGTATACCTGAGTAAAAACATGCTTATGAATAGAATGTTATGTATACCTGAGTAAAAGCATGCTCATGAATAGAATGCTATGTATACCTGAGTGAAAACATGCTTATGAATTGAATGTTATGTATACCTGAGTAAAAACGTGCTCATGAATAAAATGTTTTGTATTCTTGAGTAAAAGCATGCTCATGAATAGAATGTTATGTATACCTGAGTGAAAACATGCTTATGAATAGAATGTTATGTATACCTGAGTAAAAACATGCTCATGAATAGAATGTTATGTATACCTGAGTGCAAACATGCTCATGAATAGAATGTTATGTATACCTAAGTGAAAATATGCTCATGAATAGAATGTTATGTATACCTGAGTAAAAACATGCTCATGAATAGAATGTTATGTATACCTGAGTAAGAGCATTCTCATGAATAGAATGTTATATATACCTGAGTAAAAGCATGCTCATGAATAGAATGTTATGTATACCTGAGTAAAAACATGCTCATGAATAGAATGTTATGTATACCTGAGTGAAAGCATGCTTATATTCCCAAGTTAAAACTGTGATCTGGTAAGGGATGCCGCCTATAACTGAGTGAAATACAGAATGCCGCGCATTCCTGAGTAGCATGGAATAGAGCACATATCCCCAAGTAAAAACGTGCCTTGGTTTAAAATGCTGCTTTTACCTGAGTGAAAGTGTGCGATAGAATGCCACACATACTTGAGTGAAAGCTTGCATTTGAAAGGAATGCCGCGTATGCCTAAGTGAATGCGTGAGTAAGTGTATGCTGAACAGAATTTACCACGAATACCTGAGTGAAAATATGAACTATGGAAGTAATGCCGCGTATATATGAGTAAAAGCGTGTGCTTGCAAGGAATGCTACATATACCTGAGTGAAAGCATGCGCTGGTAAGGAGTACCGCGTATACCTGAGTGAAAGCGTGCGCTGGTACGGAATGCCGCGTATACCTGAGTGAAAGCGTGTGCTGGTATGGAATGCCGCGTTTACCTGAGTGAAACCTTCAGCTGGTACGAAATGCAGCATATACCTGAGTGAAAGCGTGCGCTGGTACGGAATGCCGCGTATATGAGAAAGAGAATCCACGTCCAAAGATCTTCGACTACCGCTCAAACTGTTAAGACTTTCACAACTGTTAACGGTCTCAGCCTTAAAAATAACATTCTTAGAATAATCAAGCTTAAAGGGACTGTAAAGGCTGAAACCTGAGAATCTCAGGAGCTCATTGAGACCTATAAGATTTCCATATGATGTTCTTGTTTAGAGAAATTGATTTAAAACTGTGTCAAAATTATACCAAAACGTATATATGTAAGATTTTGTTTAAGATTCGTAATATTAAACATATCTTATTAAAAAAATACTAAACCAATCTGAAAACTACGATATCCCAGAGGAGTCTGGTTTGCTCCTATTATTATTTGAATTTAATAATTTTTTAATTTTAACAGATATAATTGATATTATAATATTATTTATACATCCGGACCATGTCACCAGCACTCCAACCAATGGCAGTGCAGTATTATTTCCTTTACAGTCCCTTTAAGGTAATATACCCAAAATTCTATATTTTTTGTGATTATATCTGTTTTATGGTTATAAATGTGTGGTAAAAGTTCGTTAATATCTGTTATATATGTGATTGTTTAATAATATTTGGGTTAAGTTCGTTAATGATCGTTTGTGTTTTTGGATAAACGGTTTATGGACTTAATGGGCGTGATTGTCTGGTTTATTTTAGAAAATTTAAGATTTGCATTCTGGACCTTGATGGTATCTGCTGAAAAAACATGAAATCAAAAAATCATCGCTATAAAGTGTAGTGCCGAGGTATATAAATCTTTAACAACTCAATAAACAAAGAATTTATAACTTTTCTCTCTCAAATACATTAACTTAACACCTTACAATACAAACAATTCGTTGGACAGTAAAAAATGTCCCTAGAATGTGCTTCTCCTAATATTTCTGGAAATTAGATTCCAGAATTTTGATTATCATTTAATATTGTCAACCCACCATCAAGGCATTCCTATAGGATAGGATTGGAATTACAATTTTCCTCTGCCTCTCTTCCTCCGTTCCTCTCCTAGTTTGCTCCGGGTAGTAGAACCCTGCTGGAGTACTAGACCTGGATCTAATCCCGGGATCCCGGAGCATAGAGGACGGAGTTTCACTTTGGGATCTTTGGAATTTTATATCTGATTTAGTCCAGGTTGAAGAGATATTTGTTAACTCCGCATTCAAGTTTTCTTCGGACTCGGAGAAAACGTCTAGGTTGGAGCTCAGAGAATCCAGGAGTTTGCTGGAACTACAAGGAAAGGGACTAGAACCCTGGGTTCGTATCCAATCATCAGGTTCAAGGAAAAACACAGGACTTCTCTCCCTTGTACTTCTATCCACGCTTTGAGTAACTTCAAACCCCCTTCCTCCACCCAACCTTTTCGAACTTCTTGATCTTTCAATTCCAATCATAGAGGATTCACTGGTACTTCTCCTTCGATTGGATTCATTGAGTTCTTCATCCTGATCCTGATTATAAACTAATAGATCCATATTCTTCTCTTCTGCTCCTAGTTCTACTGTTGATAGGCTTAGAGTAGGTTCATCCTCATCCTCACTTGATTCAGATATCTCCATAGTTTTCTCAACCCTGATAACTTCCTGGGACAGAATAGATCCTGAAAAATACAAGGAATAAATATAAAGATGATAAACAGAATATTTATTAAGACAAGGTTTATGTAATCAAGATTTAGAAGACAAGGAAGAAGCTATAAAGGACAATCACTGCGATCTAATCACTGTTATGGCTTCAAAGATAGTTTGCTGACAAGTGAACAAGATTATAAAAACAATGTTCCAAAATCAAGGTTTTGGACAATAAGTTTTACAAGAAAATGTTCCAATGATTGGGCTCACAGAACTAATTTACAAGATTTTACAGAAAGGTTTTCAAAATGTGTTGTTAGACAAGATTCCCACACCTTGTTTTACAAAGGGTTAGAAATTTAGGTTAAATTTAGGACGGGAAACCCAAGGTTTAAAAACAGGGTTCAGAAGACAAGGTCTCAAGAAAGGTTCCAAAGAAATGATTCCCAAGACAAGGTTTAAAAGCAGGTTTACAAGATATGGTCCCAGAAAAGGTTACTAAGACAAGATTATAAAGACTTGGTGCTCTTAATATAAGACTACAAGGAAGGTACCAAAGACATAGTTCCAAAGACATAGTTCCAAAGACAGGGTTCCTAAGAAAGGTTTCCAAGATATGGTTCCCCGGCAAGGATGACCAATATGGTTCAGGAGAGTATAAATATGCATTTTGAATAATTGATCTTGCATTTAGTATTACTGCATTCAAGATTCTGTTTAGATCTGTCAAGGAGATCTTGAACCTATAAAAGGAAGGTTGGAGAGATCTAAGAGTACTAAGAAAGGAATGACGAATAGGAAAGATGCAAAAGTTTAAACAGATAAATCATTGCAATATATCTCTCTCTGGGTCCAAATAAACACAGATGTGAAGATGTTAAACTAAACCTGAATTATTATCCCCCTCGAGGGGTTCAGGAGGACTCAGATAGATCTTGAAACTAGCGTAGAAACATTGTTCTGCAAACCCTGAACCTTCTTCCTCATTTTCACTCATTTCTTTGGTTCCTTTTTCACTCATTTCCTTGGAGCCACTCATTTCCGTGGAGCCACTCATATCCTTGGAGCTGCTCATTTCCTTGGAGCCACTCACTTCCTTGGAGCTACTCATTTCCTTCCAGCCACTCATTTCCTTGCAGCCACTCATTTCCTTGGAGCCACTCATTGCTGCAGAGCAAAGCGTTTCCTTGGAGCCACTCATTTCCTTGGAGCCGCTCATTTCTGCGGAGCTACTCATTTCCTTGGAGCCACTCATTTCCTTGCAACAACACATTTCTTCGGAGCTACTCATTTCCTTGGATCCATCCATTTCCGTAAGGCCGCTCATATCTTAAACCACTGATGTTCCTTAGTTTCACTGAAATTATTTGATCACAAGAATTTTCATTATTTTTAATATTTTGATGACCGAACTCCTGAAAACTGAGTACTGAGAGTTTTAAAATCGATGATTCAGCGTAACTTGAAAACTTCTTAATGAAGGCAAGGATTAGTTCAGTTTACGTAATTCACTTCTTTAACTTTCTTTCTCCGACCTCGCCTCATCACGAGTCTATTTTGATGAAATATCATTGTGTGAAAGCGATGTAGAATTGATAATCTGATGTTCCCTGGTAGTATGTATTACGTTATCTATTGTTTTTCTTATTTATCTACACTCAACAGCTTTCTTTTAAAGAAAAGAAAGCAAAGAAACTCTGTTTTCTAGTTTATTAATCATCTAAACAACAGTCGAGGGGGATGTTTACACACTTACTTTCAAAAGAATTGAGTTCTAGCCACAAACTTGAATTTTCTTATCCTTATATCTTTGAAACGTGATGGTGTAATATTTCATTTTTCAAAATTAGACAATTTGATCTAACAGAAGTCATGGTTTGAAATATTTAAGGTCTCTGACATCAGGTTGCAAAGATATAGAAATTAAAAAATTAGAGTTCGTGGCAAAACTGAATTCCTTTCTTGCAACGGATCTGATCTAAGCAATAAAACTGGCTTAGTTAATTAATAATTAAATGCAAAAAAATTGAGACACAGAATTGAAAAAAACATCAAGAAAATTACACAAATATTGCCCGTCAAATAATAAACTAACTTAAAGTTTCAAATAATGTATATCTCCATATTTACAAAGCTTCGATGCTAACTGATCAGAGTTGAAGTATTATCTCCGGGTGTATGCGAATACCTTCCAGACCTCCATCCTGTTTCTCCGAACCCGCTCTATATTAGGGACGTCAAGGGAGAATCTTCTACATTCTGCAGCACATGGAGATTAATTATCAGGTTTCAATTATACTTAAATTGAAGAAAACATCAATATCTAATAGAATTAGAAACTTGGTGGTAGTAAAATAGAAAATATGAAATGTATTTTTTACTTAAACATTAGTTAAATATTCTACTAAAATTGAAATTTCATGTTAAAGTTTGGTTTCCATTTTTATAGAATTAAAGAAGAACAGAATTCAAAAAGGACTTTTGTCAGACAGGCTAAAAGTTAAAAAAGACTTTGTCGGAACAGGACATAATCTAAAAACGACTTTGTCAAATCCAGGATATATAATTCAAAAACGACTTTGCCAGAACAGGGAATATAACTTAAAATGACTTTTTCAGTTTATAAAGGAAATTGTGAGAAATGGTTAAAATTAGAATTTGTCGGAATGGGGGCATAAAGAAGTCAGGACTTTGTCAGAAGAGGACTTAACCAGATTATGATTTAGTTGGAAAAGAGGAGATCTTTTTTCGAAACAGGGTTTTAATTAGAAAAAGAAAACCCATAGACTAGGATGTTTAAAAGGATAAAATTTAATTTCTCTGCTTTTCCTAGGATAGGTTTGTACTTCACATGCTCTGTAGCTATGCTGGAGGAGCGCCCCTAAAATTCAAATAAAAAGAAATTAGGCTTGCTTAAATTCCAATATTGCTATGTAAATTTTGAAATTTGACAGACACAATATAGAATTCAAAGATGAATGTAAATTTACCTGTTTAAACAAACCAATTCCATGTGTTGGACTCTCAGATCTTAACCCTCCTGTTTCCGGGGATATAGGAGACAGTGTGCTTGTGTCTGTATCCGGAGTGGAAGGGAACCGAGGAGAGCTCAGGTGTCGGAACCTACCGGAGAACACGCTATGTCGTCTTCCTCTCAAAGATTTATGCTCTTGGAAAGAGTCGGCAGATCTGGTGAAACCTCCTTTTCTAGTTGGAGACACTAACCATTGGGTCGGAGCAAAGGATCTATTATAAATAGTTGAATTATCTGCTCTAGCTACAGTAGCATGGCCAGCTAGCTCCGGATCTTGTTCAAGGTTGGTATCTTGAGTTGAGTCCGTACTCTCCTCAGCTCCGAATATCCTAACAGTGAGAGTTACTCCTCTCCGTCTGACTACAACCGGTATATTCTCCTCGTATACTATATAGGAGCTCTCAAGGACGGGAAGAGGTAAACTTTGTCTTCTTGCAGGAAATTTTTCCTCCTCTCCTAGGTTTTCTAGGTTTTCTATCAACTCAGGGATTGAGGGTGGATTCTTCTCCTTACGGAGCTTAAGCAACAACTTTTTCTTGATAGATGGAACATGTTTAACATCCATCATTTCTTTTTAAAATGATTTAATGAAGAAACAGTCGCTTTTTTCTTGATTTCAGTCAAACATCACATATTTTTTATAACGTTTTGCCGTGGAGTTTTTATCTGCCATTTAAAACTATATAAACCAGGAATAATGGTTTGAACTAACTGAGGTTAGGAGGACGGTTAGTTCTCTTGCTCTTACCTTTCTCTAGCTCTGAACGATGCATCTACTTCACCCTTCACAAATTTATCCTTCCGGGACTAATATAAACACTCTACACTCTATACTCTACACTCTACACTCTACACTCTACACTCTACACTCTACAATCTACACTCTACACTCTACACTCCACACTCTATACTCTAAAATCTATTGATGCTAAAAAATGTTAAGCTACAAAGAGATACCGGAGCCCAGACCACAAATCAGAGAAAACTACCAGCCTTGTAATGTCGTTTGTTTGTTTAACTGAAGTTTACTGTAGATAGTTTATCCTGTTACATTCAGTATTAGTATTTTGTAATGCTTATATTTGTTTAGTATCCTACCCTGGTTAGTAGTTTCCTAGGAATACTACAGGATAAAGATTCCTTCTTGAGTATTCTTGAGGTAGGACGGAGTATATCCAGAGCAGACAGAGTTTCTTTACTCCCGGAGAAAACACAGGATGTCCTTGGATCTCCGATACCTAAATTAAATACACTCCTCACTGTCAGAGTTAATGCATAATTTCATCGGCTGCGGACTAATTACGCAAACCTATATTATGCCCCAGAATATTCTTCCCATAGAGCATCCCTTCTGCAAGGAAAAAAGTTGGAATAAGGGTTTACTTCTGAAGAAAATAATAATATTATTTCCCAAATTATCATAACTATGTATTATGTGCATAAAAGAAAATATTGTGTTGAAGAAATGGTCCTAATATTTTAGTGAAAAATATATGTACTATTTTGTAGAAAGGAACTTGACACAAAATCGGATTTTCTGATCCCTATATCGTTGCAACCAGATGTCGCAAAACTTTGTTATTACAAACCATGAATTATGTTTGATTAAATAGTTTACGCTTGAAATACCAAAGGTTTACACCATAAGCTTGAAAAGTTATACGGATTGGAAAATTTGAGTTTGTGGCAAGACTCAGTTCCTTTGGAGATGTCTTGTCGAAATTAAGAATTATTTTCTAGAGAATGTTCTAGCTTTAACGAACATCGTCCAAGCAGGTTCATTCCGAACTCAATTTCACAGCAAACATTAAAGGGACTGTAAAGGAAAAGTGACAGGGGGTATAGGATGAAACCTGAGAATCTCAGGCGATAAACGATACATATAAAACATCTATCTGATGTTCCTGTCTCGAGAAATTGATATAAACTGTGTCAAATTTATACGAAAAATCATATATATGCAATATTGTATAAAAATTGTGGTATTAAACAGATGATATTAAACTAATACGTAACCAATCTGAAAACGACATTATCCCACAGGAGCCTGAGAATCTCAAGTTTGCTCCTATTGCAATTTTTAGATTTTTATTTTGCATTTTTAGTAGATATAATTGATAATATAATTACATATAGTCCGTATAGTCCGTATTACGTCACCAGAACTTCAGCCAATGGCAGTGCATTATCGTTATCATGTGATTCAGAGACGGAAATCACGTGACCAGTTTACTGCACTGCCATTGGGTTCAGTTCTGGTGACTTAATACAGACTGTGCGGACTAAATGTTATAATATCTTCAATTATATCTATTATAAATGCAAAAAAAAAATATAATAAGAGCAAACCTGAGATTATCAGGCTCCTGTAGGATATCGTTGTTTTCAGATTGGATGCGTATTTGCGTATTCGTTTTTCTCGAGACAGAAACATCAGATAGATGTCTTATAGGTATTGTTCAACTCCTGAGATTCTCAAGTTTCAGCCTATAGCCGCTTTCATTTTTTCTTTACAATCCCTTTAAGCTTATTTGATTAAATCAATAAAAAAATTTGGTTTTTGCTTGGGCTCTGACTAAAATGATTTTATGCTTTAGGTTCATCTCTGTTGAGCATTTCTACCTTTGGTATCTAGTGAGCTAGTGAGGTTCTGCATAGAGGAGTAGGATATGGTTCGGTTCTTCTCCATACACCCCTTCAACACTCTAGTTCTCCAACTTTTGAACCGGAGAATATGTAAATCTTCCATTCGTAATCTGAAAATAAAAACCTAAAAATTTATAAAAATTCATATTGAACCCACTCCCAGTGAAGTAACGTATGTTCTATATGAGTGGATTGAGTGATGTTATATATCCCCTACATAAGTGGGTTGAGTGATGTTATATATCCCCTATATGAGTGTATTGAGTGATGTTATATATCCCCTATATATTTGAGTTGAGTGGTGTTATGTATCCCCTATATGAGTTGGTTGAGTGGTGTTATATATATCTGTTATATAAATGAATTGAGAGATTATATATATCTCCGATATGAATTGTTTTAGTGATTATATATATATCTCCTATATGAATGGATTGAGTGATATTATATATCTCATATATGAATGGATTGAGTGATATTATATATCTCCTATATGAATGGATTGAGTGATGTTATATATCTCCTATATGAATGTATTGAGTGATGTTATATATCTCCTATATGAATGTATTGAGTGATGTTATATATCTCCTATATGAATGTATTGAGTGAT